CTTTCTCTCTCTATTTTTCTTCAAATCAACATGGATATCCTCTCTTGTCTCTCCCCGCTCAGAACGAATGATTCACCCAAAAATGTCTGTTTTACAATATTTTTCTATAAATTGTTACGTGTTTTGATATGTGCTTTTAGTATTTCTTTTAAAATCTTATTACTTTAATGGTGTTGTTGATTTAATTATTATGTTGTATTACATAACATGTTAGGGTTTTCGTTGTGGCTATTTTTTGTTATCATGGGCATTGTAAGCTATGCTAGGATACACATATGGACTGGATGGGCTTTCAAATTAACTAGAACAAACAAGTTTTATAAATGTGTTAAATTTTGGGAGCTATCGGAGATGAAGTGCTGATGATTCCCAGGTACTCTCTTTCATTCATGCAGCCCTTACATTAGTGAAGTCAGTATGTAAATATATTGACTTCACGCACTAATAACTTCGTGAGAATTTTTTTATAAAATATATAAATATATCATGAAGTCAATATGTAAAATAATGGCACAAATTTAAATCTATAATGGCATTGGTTATTTTAGTAAATTTTTAAAATTTTTCAACTTTTTAAAAAGCTTTAAAAAGAGGTTTGGAAGTCGTTCAAAAAAAAATTTTTTGTGAGAAGAATTTATTTTTTTATGTATTATTTGACTTTTTTTAACTATGATAAAAGAATTAAGTGACTTTAACTGTAAGGATTGGATGAGTAGTAAGATTACGGCTTGCGTGACTAAGGTCTGAGTTAGAAACCTTATACCAACTTTGTTATTAGTCTTTGACTGAAATTGCGTGTGTGAAGAGTGGGTTTCTCGACATCTTCCCCTGACTTGGTTTGTAGGGTCGGGTCATAAATGGGCTCTAACCTGGAAGTTCCTAGATCACAAAATAAAAAAAATAAATAAATAAAGTGACTTTTTGACATTTTATAACTCACCCCCAAATGTCCGCATAATTACAATAGACCTTAACAATACTCTGATAGGTAAGGGGGGGGTGACACACAATGTTTAGCCGTCTTTTTATTAGGAATTTTATTTTTAATTTTTTTTTGTAATCATGTCATAGAATAAATTTAGATGCTTGTACAATAGATGAGGATGGACTCACTTTGTAAGTGGTTTATTATTATTAATTTTTAATTTTGATCAGAAAAAATAACTTTTATTTATGACCATGACTGATGATGGTGGTTTTCATATGGACAAAAAATGGTTTGGGAGCTCTAATTAGAGCCACCATTAATGATGGTGGGTAAAGTGAGTCCCACCCAACTGCACAGTGTATGTTATGCCGTTTTTTTTTTTTTTTTTTCAATTTTCCACCTCACTAGTGTGGATTTAGTGCCCCTATTTAAAGAACTCTAAATCATTGTTTGTTCATATGGATTTTTGGTGGTATACATATTATACCGTGCAATTTATATGTGAATTTTTGGAATTGGTCCGCTGAATGAAAATATTATTAGTTATAAAAAACTGAATTAGGCAGTTTTATGATGAATGTTTATCATTCAAGTAATAATTTTTGAAAAATCAAAAATGAAAAATATTATTGGTTATAAAAATGATTAGCAGTTATGATGATATATTTATTCGTTCAATAATATTTTTGAAAATCAAAATTATGTGACAAAATTTTAAAAAAACTGTTTTGAATTGTGTGTTTAAAAATACAAACTATGTTTTAACGTTCCACCATGCCTACTCTAAGTGATTTAAATGATCTAGTTTTGGAAAAAATAATTCCAATTCCACGTAGAACTCTCCTGGTCATAGAGTTGGCTTCGGGGGTGTTGGTTTTCAATATTTTTTATTTTTATCCTATTTTATGGATTAGTAACGACTTAAATTAATTTTAATTTTCCAAAAACAAAAGGCATTTTTGAAGGCATGGAGTGCAACTTGTGGATCAACATCGAACGGTCATAGTATGACCATATCTGGAAACAAGACGTTCTTGGTGAAAGCAACCGTCCAATTTGAAGTCCATGCTTTTTCATCTTCCATCAATGTCCAGGTATTATTTATTAAAACTCATGATTTTCATTTTTTTATGTTTAATACATTTATATATATGTGTAAACTTTAATATTGGCATTTTTTGATATTTTTTCCCTTAATTTCAATCATAGTCAGAAACCATAGGATGAGACACATGGCTGGTTTAACATTACGTTTTAATAGTTTTTTTCTTTTTCCTTTTTTTTTTAATAAATTTTTTTAAGATAAAGTTATTTGGTAAAAACGTTACATTTTGTTATTGGAAGCTGGCTGGGGTATGGAATTGTGACCTTTGGTGTTTAAAATACCCTTTTTAGATCTTTTCAAATTAAAAGTACTTGAACATTTAAATAATAAATAATAATAATAACTTACAAATTTCCTAAAACTAAAAATAAAAAATAAAAATAACCGTTAAGCACTTGCCAAGGTAATGTGTCTTGTTAAAGAAAGCAACTCTTTTATTTTTATTTATTTTATTTTTTATAATCTTGTCATCTAAATTAAGCAATGTTTTTTCAGTAAACGATCTCTTGTCCAGACGTGCATTTTTTTTTCCTTTTTGGTTTGAATAGACAGAAAAAAAGAAGCTTTTTTAATAGTAAACAAACAGAGGTTGCTGTTTGGTGTAACTGTTAACAGATTATAACTTAACAGATTATAGGATTATGACTTTAAATCTGAAGCTGTAATCTGTTTGGTATAGCTGTTTGGATTATAGATAAAAGTTGCTGAGTAATGTTTGTTAAATAAGCTGTGAAGTAATTTTTCAATTAATTTATTTTTTATTATTCACTATTTGTCTACAATTTCTCATAAAAAAAAAATAATATTTTTTTAGTCCATTTGGGTTTTCTAATTTTAAATAAAAATTAAAAATTTAAGAGTATAACGTAAATTAACATAGTCCACAGCAGAGTTGATATCAGGAATGCAAGGGGTGAGCGCTCTTCGAATCAGCTTTTTTGATTAATAAATTGTTAGATCAGAACTTTTGAAATATTAACCAAACAGTCCATAACTTTTTAAAGCAGAAGCCATAAGTTGGCTAAAAAAAGCACCTGCCCAGAGCACACGTGCATGCAAGTCCACATTTTTGTGTCTTTGTGATTTAATTTGCAACTTAATATCTTTCTTTTGATGACTTTAACACCAACTTTCTACTGTGATGTGCAATTTTCCCTTATTTTATCTTTTTCTTTTTTCATTGATGAAATACGAGCTTTGGGGTGACATTGCACCAGACATATGAAATTTTGGTGATATTACTCTCCATACTTTGGCTGATTTTCTCAAAGGTTGAATGGGCCATTACTGTTAGTGATGAGTTGTGGTACTAAGGAAAAATTTGGTGGATTCCTGTCCAAAGGTGGGTTCTGTTTGGGATGTGAGATAAAATAATATAATAATAATTGGGAGTTTCTC